CATTGCATTGCATCGCATCGCATCGCATCCCATCCCATCCCATTCCATCCCATTCCATTCTTGTCTGGAATGGTATATGGTCTCCTGCTTGAGCAGGGGACTGGACTAGAAGACCTCCAAGGTCCTATTGTATTGTATTGTATTGTATTGTATTGTATTGTATTGTATTGTATTGTATTGCATTGCATTGCATTGCATCCCATCCCATCCCATCCTATTCCATCCCATTCCATTCTTGTCTTGACTGGTATAGGGTCTCCTACTTGAGCAGGGAGCTGGACTAGAAGACCTCCAAGGTTACTTCCGGCTCTACTCTGAATGTAACAGTCAGAAGTCTGAAAAATAGTCAAGTCACTTTTTTCAGTAGCAACTTCAAATGGTCATTAAATGAACTGTTGTAAGTTGAGGATTACCTATAAGGTAAAGGTAAAGGTTCCCCTCGCACATATGTGCTAGTGGTTCCCGACTCTAGGGGGCGGTGCTCATCTCCGTTTCAAAGCTGAAGAGCCAACGCTGTCCGAAGACGTCTCTGTGGTCATGTGGCGGGCATTACTAAACACTGAAGGCGCACGGAACACTGTTACCTTCCTACCAAAGGTGGTTCCTATTTTTCTACTTGCATTTTTACATGCTTTCGAACTGCTAGGTTGGCAGAAGCTGGGACAAGTAACGAGAGCTCATTCCGTTACATGGTGCTAGGGATTTGAACTGCCAAACTGCCGACCTTTTTGATCAACAAGCTCAGCGTCTTATCCACTGAGCCACCGCGTCCCTATACAAAAACCTATAGTTCTCAGCATCTGAGGAGCATCGTCCCTCGACCTCTAACCATCTCCTGCCCATCCCGCTCTGTTTGTTAAAAGAAAGTCATTTTAAGCAAAATGCAAAAGCATGCTATTTTTTCTCCAAAATTATCTTAGTTCCTAAAACATTCCACAATCTTGTTATTGTGGGGAAAATAGGAGGGGGAAAGAGAATTAGGTATGTTTACTGCCTTGCATTATAAAATAAGAGCGGGATATAAATTAATAAATATGCAACTCAGAACTGCAGGAAGCACAGGCCGAGGGAGGGGGCAAAGAAAGGAAGAGAGGAAAATAATAGACCCCCCCAAAAAAACTCAGAATATAGTTCTGCAGAATATAGTTCTATTCTGCAAAATTGAAGCCATTGTAAGCTGTACTACTCTCAGCCTAACTCCTACTAAATCAATCCCATTTGCGTCTAACTCCCCAAGTTAGGTTAAGTCAGCCTGGCACTGTGTGTTCCAGTTGACTTTACCATGTAATAATTTCTGAGGTTGACATTTATGGGGTAACAATAAAAAATGGATGAATAATAGCTGAACCCTCCCCATTAAGTCTTGGTGGATTCATCAAGAGATCAAGAGATCTTGTTGTAGGGAGAAAGCTTCAGAAGCTGGGATGCTGCCATTAGTTGGCAATGTTTAAAATACTCAGTCAACAATTTTAAAGGCTTCTACGCATGCCAAACTGTTTCATATCTTTTAGTTATAAATTACAAAATAATGGAATAACAGAATAGCAGAATTGGAAAGGACCTTGGAGGTCTTCTAGTCCAACCTCCTGCTTAGGCAGGAAACCCTATACCATTTCAGACAAATGGCTATCCAATATCTTCTTTAAAACTTCCAGTGTTGGAGCATTCACAACTTCTGGAGGCAAGCCGTTCCACTGATTAATTGTTCTAACTGTCAGGAAATTTCTCCTCAGTTCTAAGTTGCTTCTCTCCTTGATTAGTTTCCACCCATTGCTTCTTGTTCTACCCTCAGGTGCTTTGGAGAATACCTTGACTCCCTCTTCTTTGTGGCAGCTCCTGAGATATTGGAAGACTGCTATTATGTCTCCCCTAGTCCTTCTTTTCATTAAACTAGACATACCAAGTTCCTGCAACCGTTCTTTATATATTTTAGCCTCCAGTATCCTAATCACCTTTGTTGTTCTTCTCTGCACTCAAGATGCCAGAATGAAATCATACTATCTAGAGACATAAGCAATTATCAGAATGTCATGGACCTCTAATTCATTTTAATACAATATTTTTTAAAAAAACACATACATCACAATTGCTTTTCATAATTTTCTCCAACCATTTCCCACTTAGTGCCAGCTGCTGGAAAAACCAATTACTTCCAATGTTCTGATTCCAGTGGATTGTTTGGGAGGGAGAAATGAGCATTGCTCATCTAAGATTATTTTCTTATGCCAACATGTCAATTTGCCTTATTTATTTGAGGATAATTTACTTCTAGAAGGTGTAGATCATTATTCAGAAAAGAGCTTTCCAGTGCAATTTAAGTGTAAGTAGACTCCCTTCCTGCATAAGTCTTGGCATGTAGCTTTCTTGGAACCAGACAATACATGCAAAGCTCTAAAATGACAATTAAAATAATGCCTAGAAACATAATCAAGCCACTAGTTTTAAAACAAAACATGAAGACATTCACATACCATTAAAGGCTTGGCACATTGGCAGATAAGAAAATCACTCATCAGCAAGAAGCATCTACAGGTGGGGACCATCGCCGAGAAGATTATAGAACAGTCATGGCAAACTTTTTTGACACCGAGTACCCAAACCGGAATGCACATGCATGCACACCGCAATGCTGAAAACCTGAAGACCAGCTGACCAGTGCACATGTGTGTGCCAGCTAGTTTTGGGGTTTCTGGCATGTGCATGCATGCTGACCAGCTGGTCGGTGCGTGCGATGGAGCACTGGAAATCCGAAGACCAGCTGTTCGGTGCGTGCATGCCTGGTTTTGGGGGGCATTTTTGAAGCCACGAATCGCCCCAAAATGGTGTGAAAACAGCCCAGAAAATGACCTGTTTTAGGGGCATTTTTCAGGCTGTTTTCAAGCATTTTCCAGCACTCCAGTGCCTGCAAAGACCATGCATGTCAGAAACCAGAAGCACAGCTGGCAATGGCGCATGTGCCCACAGAGAGGGCTCGGCGGGCCACCTCTGGCAGGTGTGCCATAGATTCGCCACCACGGTTATAGAACAGAGAATCATAGGGTTGGAAGGGACCTCATAGGTCTTCTAGTCCAACCTCCTGCTCAAGACAGGAGATCTATTCCAGTCAATTTTTGAAAACCTCTAGTAATGGAGCATTCAGAACTCTGAGCGGCAAGCTATATTCCACTGATTAATTATTATTTCTGTCAGCAAATTTCTCCTTAATTCTAGGTTAGTTTTCTCCTTGATTAGTTTCCATCCATTACTTCATGTCTTGCCCTCGGGTGCCCTAGAGAATAAGTCAGTCTCCTCTAGTCTGTGATAGCCCACCAAGTACAGGAAGAGGCTATCATGTCACCCCAAATCTTTCTCCACCATAAGTTTAACAGCAGCTCAACTGTTCATCATAACAATTTTGGCTCCAGATCTTTAATCGGTTTTGTTGCTTTTCTCTGAACACTTTCTAGGATCTCAGCATCAATTTCCTACCATGGTGACCAGAACGGAACACAATATTCTATTTTCCTGCCACTTACAAAGAGTTCTTTCTTACAGGGATAACAATATTTTGCGTTTATAAAAAGAAGATCGCATCCAAAGAAAGAGATTGCTAGCAAATTCTGGAAAAGATAATCAAGCAACGAATCAGTGAACACCTAGAAGCAAACAAAGTAATAATCAAAAGCCAACATGGGTTTGTCATAAACAGATCATGCCAGAGTAATCTTATTGCATTTTTTGACAAAGTGACAAAACTATGGACCAGAGGAATACTGTTGATATAATTTACTTGGACTTCAGCAAGGCATTTGATAAAGTAGACCATAACCTAATACTAGATAAAGTAGAAAAATGTGGATTAGACAGCATCACAACCAGATGGATTCGTAGCTGGCTGACCAACCACACTCAATATGTAGTCCTCAATGGAACTGCATCTACATGGAGGGAAGTATGCAATGGCTCTGTTTTAGGCCCAGAAGGCTCTGTTTTAGGCCCAGAACTCTGGCAAGAATAGCCAACACTCTAGAAGATAGGCTTAAGATACAAAAGGATCTTGACAGACATGAACATTGGGCGCTATCTAATAACATGCAATTCAAGGGTGAAAAGATTAAGGTTCTACATTTCGGCAAAAAAAAACCCAAAATGCACAGGTACAGTATATGTAGTATCTTGCTCTACAGTAGTAACTGTGAGAGGGCTATTGGAGTCCTAGTGGACAACCATTTAAACATGATCCAGCCGTGTGCAGCAGCTGCCAAAAAAGCCAACACAGTTCTAGGCTGCATAAACAGAGGGATAGAATCAAGATCACGTGAAGTGTAAATACCACTTTAAGGCCACACTTGGAATACCGCATCCAGTTTTGGTCGATTTTACGATGCAAAAAAGCAATTTATGCATGATTTCTGCATGTAGAAAGGGACCAAAATAGGACAAAACAGAGCAGCTATCCTTTATGATGAATAAATCCACATTGCCTGTCTTAATTCCAACTGCATCCATGGACCCATTTTACAATGCACAATTCTCCTCCCAATGTCCAAGAGATGTTTCCAACTCTCCGTCATTTTCTCAGTAACTTGGTTTTTAAAGACAGGGGTGAGGCTGTTCAGAAGAATCGCAGAGCATAGCCAGAACTTCTGTCATTCCTACGTACCTTCTATCTTAAGCACCCTCTCTGGAAATGCTCAACTACTGTCCTAAATAAGGATTTATGATGATGCTGTTATAAAGCCCCATCCCCCAAACCCTGCCAGATTCCCTCCCAGGTAAACAGTTTAACATTAAGCAGACACTCCAATGGAAGAGAGAGAGAGAGAGTGAGAGAAAGAAAGAAAGAAAGAAAGAAAGAAAGAAAGAAAGAAAGAAAGAAAGAAAGAAAGAAAGAAAGAAAGAAAGAAATCCTTGAAAGCAAGGCAACAGCAGCCCTATAAAACAGGGGCAGCAAACTCAAGACCCGAGGGCCAGATCTGACCCGTGGGGTGCTTAGATCTGGCCGGCGGGGCGGCCCTGGAAACAGCAAAGAACCACCAGCCTGTGGGGTCTTTGCCAGGGAAAATGGAACTCCATTTTTGCTGGCTCCATTTTTTGCAGCCGAAAATGGAGTGCTTTTGCTGGCAGAGTGCTTGGTCCACCACAGGCATCCCGATATGAGTGATGTCACGGGATCATCATTTACAACTTGACCAGCTGACTTCCAACAAATGCGGGAAACCGAAGACCAATATAATTGATTTGTAGGGTAACTACACCAAAGTGCACAGATTGTTTTCTTCTTCTAATGATTGTAGCAAAAAAAACAAAACATAAACAACTTACCTTCCACTGCAAGGAATGGAACCACTGGTCTCTCAGGTAACTGTTTGCAGCCTGCAATTTTAATGAGAGAGGAAAAAATAAATACAAGTGTTCGGATTTGCTAACCCATCATTAAAGCAAAACGCCGATCGATCATTTGCATGGACTTTGCAGCCTTGATAGGTCCCTGTCACTTCACTCGTTTGACCCCATTAAGTTAGCATTTATGGGCTGTACTCCAGAAGCTTCCACATATCCCCCTCTGGCCCTCCCTTAATCTATCTATTTCTATTATATATATAAAAATGGCTCTGTGTGTGTGTGTGTGTGTGTGTGTGTGTGTGTGTGTGTGTGTTTCAGCATAACTCTGGAACGCCTCGAGCAATTTCAACCAAACTTGGTACACAGATGACTTACCCTCTGGAAACAAATACTGTGGGGAGTAAGACACCCCTTAACACCCCTCGGGTGTGTGTTCTGTTAAGATACGGCCTGTTGTGCCTTAAAATGAATTCTACCATACTGCCTTAAAATGGCTTCCACTGTACAGCACTGTGGAGTTGCCATGGTAATGGTTTCACAGTACTCCATAAGGGAGCTCTTTCTGGTAAGGGGGAAAATCCAACATTAGAAATTGTGGCGACGTTCATGGAAGAAAGGTTGAGATAAATAAATACCCGGGCAGCGCCGGCTTATCAGTTAGTTGTTTATAAAAACTGGATACTATGGACAGGAAATTTGAGAAGCACATCACCTGCATAGATTTGTAATTTAGTCCAGAAATCTACAAATAGAAAAGATAGGTAGTTCTTGAATTACCACAACCGAGCCCTACATTTATGTTGCTAAGTGAGACAGTTGTTAATTGTTACATTTTGTTAAATTTTGCGCGCACCAAACCCACCCCTGGGATAAATCCATCTGTGGATAAGAAAATCCTTTTATTAACTAAATACCATGAAAAATGTGTCATTTGGAAGAAGCCAACCTTGAGATTTTTCTATTTTAATTTTTCTATTTTAGTTTTCACGAACGGCTTATCCAGGGGTGGCACATTTTTCATCTAACTTTGGCTAAAAATTCAAGGATTGGCTTATACACCAATGGGCTTATCCATGAGTATATACGGTAGATGAAAAAGAGAACTAAGTCTGCATTTACAAAACCTTTCAAAATTCACATGCAATTGTACAATATAGGTTCACAGAGACAGAATGGCTTATTTAAACTTTTAAAACTCTTGCTTGGTGCTCGCTCAAATGCACTGTTTGAGCTTATCCAGGGGGAAAAAATCATTATATCATTTGTGGCACTGCAAAAACTGTTTGTATGGTTGGAAAAAAATTCTTTGTATTCATATTTGAATTCTGCCTTCTCGTAACTTCAGCCCATTATCCTCGGTAAACTTTACCCTAGATTTTCCTTGAAATGTTTTTGTTAGAATAAGAATGAAACCAAATGGCGATGGCTCACACACACAAAAATGACGAATCACATTTTATCTAGCACCATTGTTAAGACTTATCAAGTTTGTTTTTTCCTTTTGAGTACACCTAATTGCCAGGAATAGCCTTCAAAATACAGGGAACACATTACAGGGCCAAATATAGACTCTGGTCAAAATTAGAACTTGGCCAACTTTTGCAATTTTCCAGAGATAAAAAAAAACCTAACTTGCTCTGGACGTTGGTTTTTTTTCTCTGAACCCCTTAAGCAAGATGTAATTGGAATACAACCCCTAAGTTAATTTTCTCCAGCGTCAATTATTATCACCATTATTCACGTTGTTTTTCAATGCTTCGTTATTTCATTTTACAATTCTCCCAATGACTTGTTAGCTTCATATTGCCTCTCCTAACCTCAATGCTTCTGATGAATTTCCTCTGTTGGAAGAAATGTTCATCTGGGTTCAGTTCCAAGTGGGAGAAAAGACACTGGAAACAATGGTGGCTGTTTGGAAAGATGGTTTAATGGTGGACAGGATCACATGGTTTGAAGATCTTGGGTGAAGAAAAAAGGGGGCAGATGCTGAGAGTCCCTGGGTTTTATGCCCTCCCTGGGCTTTTGAATTTGAGCTTGTATTTTGATTAGTTGTCAGACTCCCATGGGGTTATGCAGAGGTAACTTTGTAGGTTGTGTTTTTGAGTCTTAAGCTTGGTTAAGCTGTTGCTGGGTGATGATGTAATGAAAGGGCTTTGAGATTCCTATTATGACTCTGCCTGAAGGAGGTAGATCTTTGTTATGTAGAATAGATTGACTCAGGCCTTAATGTCCCATTGACAAATGTGGAGGGAATGAGTTTTTGCCTCCTTTTTAGGGGAAATATTCTGCTCTTTTAATATTTTCTAAAATGTCTCATTTTCCTAGGAGAGGGGTGGGTGCTAACTTCCTATAACTCATTGCCAGATTTGTCCAATTTCTGGAAGCAAGTGCTTGTACCTAGAGCATATCCTGATTGGGTTATCCTGTCATACGCAGCCAAAACGTACACCCCATTTATGTATGGAATATACGGGAGAGAATCATTCTCACTGCAAACAAAGTAAGTGAAGAGGACTTTTGGTTTACATAGGTGGATTTTGGGACCTCAAACAAGAGAAGCAGTCAAAGAAGAGGGGGTCAACCTACGGTATTTTTCAAAGCACCTGAACCCAGGCAAGGAATAATGGATGGAAACTGAAGAAGGAGAGATTCAACCTGGAAATTAGGAGATATTTTCTGACAGTGAGAACAATCAACCCAATGGAACAGAAGTTGTGGGAGCTTCATCACTAGAAGCTTTCAAGAAGAGATTGGACTGCCATCTGTCAGAAAAGGTGTAGGATCTCCTGCTTGGGTGGGGGGTGGGACTAGATGGCCTACAAGGTCCCCTCCAATTCTGTTAATCTGTTAAAACAGCAAAAAAAAAAAAAGGATTGAAATGGGGGCTAGGCGATAATGAGTAAAGGCAAATGCAGTGTCATTTTGAAAAAGATGGTTTCCAGCAGCTACAAAAACTTGCAAGGAGTGATGTTTACATACTGATGGACAGAGGCTTGGAGGAGATGATGATTAGGGGGCTGTAGGCTAAAACATATGAACGGTTGCTGGAATTATGTCTAGGTTTAATGAAAAGAAGGACTAGGGGAGACATGATAGCAGCGTTCCGATATTTGAGGGGCTGCCATAAAGAAGAGGGAGTCAAACTATTCTCCAAAGCACCTGAAGACAGGACAAGAAGCAATGGGTGGAAACTAATCAAGGAGAGAAGCAACCTGGAATTAAGGAGGTTGGAACAATTAATCAGTGGGATGACTTGTCTCCAGAAGTTGTGGGTGCTCCATAACTGGAGGTTCTAAGAAGAGATTGGACAGCCGTTGGTCTGAAATGGTATAGAGTGTCCTGCTTAAGCAAGAGTTGGACTAGAAGACCTCCAAGGTCCTTTTCAACTCTGCTATTCTTTTAATTCATACCTGACATTCTCACCACCCGGCTATCTCAGACACCTTCCTACAGTATGCTTCTGTTTCTCGGTGTAATGTGTACACCATAAATGGCTTACAATTACATACTTTGTCATAGCGTGGTTTAAGCTTTACATATTAAAAACAAAACTGGGTGGCTTTTATACATCGTAAACTAAGCCGTAAAACTGGTTAAGGATATATTCTGGAGGATAGCAAATATATAAACCATGGTTTTCAAAAATATAATGGCTGAGTTGGGAGAACAAAAGGAACAGCTGGCGGGACAGCATAGGGTGAAAACATCTACTGTTGGCATCCTTGAGCCAGGGGTGACATTTATGAGCATGGGACTAAGATATGGGACATATATTAGATAGGACTATAGATAGTCTTTGACTTACAACCATTCATTTAGTGACGGTTCGAAGTTACAATGCACTGAAAAGAGAGAGAGAGAGTCAGAGAGAGACAAAGAGAGAGAGACAGAGAGACAGAGAGCGAAAGAGAGAAAGAGACAGAGAGACAAAGACAGAGAAAGACAGAGAGAGACAGAGAGAGAGAAAGAGAGAAATACACATAGAGAAAGACACACGCAAGAGAAATAGAGAGACAAAGACAGAGAGAGACAGAGAAAGACAGAGAAAGAGGCAGAGAGACAAAGACAAAGAGAGAAAGACAGAGAGAGAGAGAGACAGAGAGAGAAAGACACACAGAGAAAGACAGAGAGAGAGAGAAATAGAGAGACAGAAAGACAGAGAGACAAAGACAAAGACATAGAGAGAGACAGAGAGAGAGAGAAAGAGACACAAAGAAAGACAGAGAAAGAGAGAAATAGAGACAGAAAGACAGAGAGAGACAGAGAAAGACGGAGAAAGAGACAGAGAAACAAAGACACAGAGAGAAAGACATATAGACAGAGAGACAGAGAGAGACAGAGAGAAAGACACACAGAGAAAGACAGAGAGAGAGAAATAGAGAGACAGAAAGAAAGACAAAGACAGAGAGAGAGAAATAGAGATACAGAGACAAACAGAGAAAGACAGAAAGACAGAGCGAGACAGAGAAAGACAGAAAGAGACAGAGACAAAGACAGAGAGAGAAAGACAGAGAGAGACAGAGAGAGAGAAAGAGAGAAATACACATAGAGAAAGACACACGCAAGAGAAATAGAGAGACAAAGACAGAGAGAGACAGAGAAAGACAGAGAAAGAGGCAGAGAGACAAAGACAAAGAGAGAAAGAGAGAGAGAGAGAGAGAGAGAGAGAGAGAGA